TGTTCCCTCTCTCGCTGTCTCTCTCTCTGTCAAATAAATAAATAAAGTCTTTAAAAATAAATAAAATTAAATAAATAAATCAATTACCATTTATTTTGTTGGGTTTTTTTTTCTCGTTTGTTTAAAAAAAAATGAAAGTTAACCCCCATCTTACTCATTTTAGTAGAAAATTGATTAAAATGGTATTTTTTATAGGTCAGAAATGGATTTTTAAAGCTATACTTCAAAATACTGTGGCCAGTTGGCATCATCTCTGTTTTGATGAAAATTGCACACCTCTTTAGCAGTCTCATCTTGTTTTACATGTAATGTACATTTGCTTATTTTGGATTTTAAGAGTTGTAAAAAAACATCAATAAGAGACTATATTAATTGGTAAGAATGCAGATAAACCATCAATCTTTAAAGCTTAATGCTGTAAAATAATTAAGAAACAAATGTTATGGTAATTGACAACTATCTAGGGCAGTTTATTTCTGAATAAAGTTATATAGCTATATTTCTTCCGAGATCAATATGATATTGTTATGCTTTTATTTTAGGGTTTGATTGACAATAAATTGCACTTAAGGTCTTTCAGGTGTGCTTATTTTCTGTGAGATTTGATGTACCTTTGTGAAATATAAGCCTTTATAAAGATGTTATAAAAAAGAAACCGTATGTTCATAATATTCTAATTTCAACAATTACTGTTAGAAGTCAGAAGCTATAATACTTATCCCAAACTTGTATGAGGCATCTGTACTTTTCAGAGAATAATTTATATTTTAAAAATCTATGGCTGTTAAAAGTTGGAAGCTCTCTGTTAACATTTAATGATCTTGTCAGGGGAATATGATTGACACAATTAAGTTGTCTTGCATTTGAGTTACATAATTGATATGGGATGTGAGTAAGATCCTAATTCAGAACATATGATACTCTTGTTCCAGTCTATTCGAGAATGAAATTAAAGCAACTTATAAATAAATCTGGTTTTCATTAAAATATGGAAAAAAGCATCTGCATGCCAAAGCATTTGCAATACAGCTAAGGATTTATACTCTATATTTCATACTTGGAACATTTTTATCATATAGAATTAAATCCACAGATCAAACAAGTTTTCTAGGAAGTATAAAAACTTTTTACTCTAATTCTTTTGGCTTAAAGGAATGTATATTTAGATTATAGTAGGAAAACAGGGGTTCTGTTAGATAATTCATTTTCCCCCCTTAGGAAAAAATTTAAGGTTAGTATATTCTTCTAAAATCTTGATTTTCAATATGTGCTTTTTGAGATTACTTTTTACTGGTTTGTATGTCTCGGGCTGGGTTTAATTTTCCAAGTTTAATCATCTCTGTTCTTTGGAAAATATCCATTGCCAAACACAATTCAGTTGACTGTGACATGCATATCAAATCTAAACTAACTTTAGTGTGCATTACTGAATTGCCCTGTAGTTGAATGATAAAGAAAAGCACTGTATTTACAATTGTCTTTATTAATGTACCTTAATAAGTACAAGAAATGTTTAATAATAACTAGTAACCAAGCCAGGGATAGTGAAATTACATTTTGCAATAAAGTTATTTTTATATTAGGAATTTAAAATTCAATCCTGTGACGAGGAGAGTGTAAAGGAAAGCACCATCTTGAGATAAAGGAAGCAGTATCTGAAAAATACCAAAAACTCAAGAGTAACTATTCAAGAGTAGAGATTAAGAGTGCCTGGGTGGCTTAGTCTGTTAAACATCTGACTCTTAGTTTCGGCTCAGGTCATGATCTCAGGCTTGTGAGATGGAGCCCCATGTCTGCTTCTCTCTCTCTCTCTCTCCCTCTGCCCCTCCCCCTGCTTGCGCGTACATGTGCATTCTCTCTCTCTCTCAAATAAATAAATAAATCTTAAGAAAAAAAAGAGTGGAGATTATTTCCATTTCTCCTGTCACTAAGATCATTCTCATCCTTTTCTGCTTTTACAGACATATAAGATGAAGCTGTTGAGCCAAATGATCTGAGGTCTCTTCTTGCGCTAACATACCATAACTGTGATGCTGAGAGACTGCTGGGAGGAGGTGACGTTGTCTTCAGTCCCACAGTTCAGTGCTTTCAGCAGTCTCATGGCTTCTGGGCATGAGAGAATTGTGGTCTGACATAGTATAGTTATAATAGTATAAGTTATAAAGTTCAGGATTTCAAAATGTTTATTCTTATGCAAGAGGAAAGAGTCTGGTCCTAAGGATTAATGTGCTTGTTGCACAACTCCACCTTCATGACAGTAGGAACAGCAGAGCTAACAGATGGAATCTGCTTTGGTGCTCTACTGGCCCTTTTTTCTCCTGACACTGCAATTGTCTGGGTCTGATACTGGGTCCCTGAAGGAAGGAGATTTTAGGTGTAGAGTCCTGAGCTTTTTGCCAGCTTCAGAAATTTAGTTGCCAAGTGTCCCTCAATGAGGGATGTTTTGAAGTTCCTATTTTGATACTTATTCAAGAGTGACTAGAAGATGAACCTGCCTGGTATCATTTTGTATTCTTAATATGTGTGCCCTTAGGTCCTCCTACATACAGGAATTGAGAGGCTTGTGTAAATGCAGAGAGCACAGCTTCAGGTCCGTGAGTACTAGAAATACTTGTGCACAGGTTTTAGGTTCTGACACAGGCATTTCCTAAAGACACGAATTAGAGTGAAAAAGGGAAAGGTGTGATCATGGTGCTATTTCTGCTGCTACTCCTTCTTTTGTTCTGTTTAAAAGGAAGTTGTTGGCACCCACCAATACCCGCTAAACATACATTAGAAAAAGACTTCCTCTGAAACCAGAAATAAAAGAGACACAGTGAATCATGAAGTCCATGTTAGAAGCCAGGGGCTGAAACCCGTGTAGGGGAAAACCTTTTCTTTCTTTCTTTCTTTTTAAATTGAGAGATAATTAACATATAACAGTGTATAAATTTAAGGTATACAATATGTATTTTGATATACTCATGTATTACAATATGATTACCACAGTAGTGTTAGCTAAACCCTCCATCACGGTATATTTAAGATCTACTCTGTTAGCAACTTTCAGGTATATTATTATTATTAACTACAGTCACAATCCCTAGAACTTATTCATCCTGTAACTGCAAGTTTGTACTATTTGATCAGTATCGCAGTTCCCTTGCCTCCTCTACCCCAGTCCTGCTGGTAACCACCATTCTACTCTGTTTCCGCGAGTTTGGCTTTTTTTGATTCTACATATAAGTGATAAACAGTAATGATGTTTTTCTGCCTGACTCATGTCACTTAGCATAACACCTTCAGAGTCCCACCATGTTGTCACAAATGGCAAGATTTCCTTCTTTCTCATGGCTGAATAATATTCCATTATCCCACATATATATATGGTATTTATATATATGGTATATATGCTCTACATACACACACACACACACACACACACACACACACACGCACATGCACACCCCACATCTTCTTTATCCATTCATCCACTGACAAACACTTAGGTTGTTTCCATATCTTGGTTATTTGAATAATACTGCAATAAATATGGAAATGCATGGAGCGCCTGGGTGGCTAAGTTGTTACGCATCTGCCTTCGGCTCAGGTCATGATCCCAGGGTCCTCGGGTCGAGCCCCGCATCAGGTTCCCTGCTCGTTGGGAAGCCTGCTTCTCCCTCTCCCACTCCCCCTCCTTGTGTTTCCTCTCTTGCTGTGTCTCTGTCTGTCAAAATAAATAAATAAAATCTTAAAAAAATAAAAATAAATAAATAAATATGGAAATGCAGATATCTTTTTGATATCCTGTTTTCATTTCCTTTGGATATATTACCCAGAAGTGGCATTGCTGGATCATTTAGTTTTTTAAAAAGATTTATTTATTTATTTATTTATTTTATTTATTAGAGAGAGAGAGAGAGCACGTGCGAGCACATGCATGTGCACAAGGCACGGGGGCAGGGGGAGAGGGAGAGAAATCCGCAAGCAGATTCCTGGCTGAGCACTCCTGATACCAGGCTCCATCCCAGGACCCTGAGATCATGACCTGAGCTGAAATCAAGAGCCAGGCACTCAACCGACTGAGCCACCCAGGCGCCCCTTTAATTTTTTTAGGAACCTCCATACTATTTTCCGTAGTGGTTGAACCAGTTCACCTTCTCACAGTGCACAAGGATTCCTTTATCTCCACTTCCTCACCAACATTTGTTATTTCTTGTCTTTTTGATACCCATACTAACAGGTGTGAGGTGATCTCTCAATGTGGCTTTAATTTGTATTTCTGTGATTAGTGATGTTGAGCATCTTTTCGTATACTTGTTGGCCATTTGTATGTCTTCTTTGGAAAAATGGCTGTTGATTTCCT